ATTGAAAAATGACAGAGAAAAGTGCGCAGATCACAGCACACCTTCTCACAGAGAGAACGCACTCAGAGTAGGAAACACAAGCCAGCCTCCCGGACCCTTGGGGTGGGGGTTCTGCTGGAGCTCCAGTGCCCCTGTGCTCACTGCAGTAGAAGGTGCCGCACTGTCCCCACAGTGGTTTTATCAGTGGCCTCCCGACCCCCATGTGCAGGAGGCCCAGCTGTTCGCATCCCCCAGAGCCTTAGTCTTTCAAGCCTGAGCAAGTGTGCAGGCATCTTGTGGTGGTTTACTTGGGCAGTGAGGTTGAGCACTTTCTCATGGTTACTGGCCATTTGGAGGTCTTCTCTGATTAGGCATTTGTCCGTGTCTTCTGCCTTGTTTCTGTTTTTGGTAGGGGGACAAAACACCTCAGTCATGCAGTGAAGGGAGGAACAGTGGCTGTGACCTCGCTCTGAAGGTGCCAGGAGGCCGAGCTTGTGTGCCTGGCTTGCCTGCCCCACGCCTCCCCTTCTTCCACCAGGCTTGGTCTGCTTTAAACGTGGAGGGGTCCGTCTTCCTCGTCGCCTCATGGGATTCTCTGGAGATCTCGGATGCGAGTCCTTTATTGGCTAAAAGGAGGGCACGCCCCTGCCCTGGCTCTGGGCTTTGACTCCTTTTCTCTCCTAATGGTATCTTCTGGTGAACTGACCTCTCGATGGGAGCTCCGGTTTGCTCTTCCCTGGTTTCTCTGCTCTCCTTGCACACCGGCTCCATGGTGGACTCCCGTGTGACTTGTGAGACAGGGCCAACCATTGTTCTCCAGGAGTGGCTGACTGACGCAGCCCCGTGGACTGGTGTCGGCGACCTGCTCGTGGAGCTGCAGGTCAGCTCGTCACCACCCGGGGCCCCGCGTGGGTGGCCCGGGCCTGGCTCTGCTCTTCCTTGGCTGTCCTCACAGCACTTGTGCTGCTGTGCTTTCAGGCAGCACTCACGTCCCCAGCAGTTGTTCAAGGCTGGCTGTGGTGTGCTTGGACCTTTGCACTTCCAAATACATCCTAGAATAAGTGTGTCGATTTACACAAAAAACCCTGCTTGGATTTTGATGGAAATTGCACTGAATTGCCATTTAGAGAATTGACATTATTACAATACTGAGGCTTCCAATCCACAAACAGGTCACATCTCCCCATTTATTTATTCAGGTTTTATTTTCCTTCAGTAATATTTTACAGCTTTCTGTCCATGACATCTTTTGTTAGATTTACTCCTACATAGTTGAAGTTTCTTAGGGAGGACCTAGAATAAACCACATCTACAAGTGATCGTTACTGTTTGCTTCTGGTATTTAGGAATATAATTAATTCTTGTATACAGAACTGGCCTTGTGGCCAGCGGCGTGCTAAATTCACTCACTGCTTCTAATAGTTTGCTTGTGGCTTTCTTTGGATTTTCTCCACATGTACCCATGTCATCTGCAAATACTGACAGCTTCACGTCTGGCTCTCAAACCTCGCGGTTTCTCACCTCCCTCCTGCCTTTGTGCGCGGCTGGCTTCTGCGTCCCAGGTGAATGTCAGCGGCACTGGGCGGTCATCCCCATCTGCACAGTGCTGGGCTCTCCATATTCCAGTTATGTGGGTTGTTGCAGATGTCTCACAGATACCTTTATCAGATTAAAGAAGTTCCTTTTTATTCCTAGTTTGCTAAAGGTTCTCTTAATCATGAGTGGGTATTGAATTTTACAAATTACTTTTCTGTGTCTATTAAGATAACCACATGGTTTATTTCTTTATTTTGTTAATGTGGTGAATTCCATTGATTGATTTCTTAAAAATTATACTAACCTTGTGTTCCTGAACCCAACCCAACTTGGTCATGATACGTCACTCAGTATCACTGAATGCGGCTTGTTCTTGTCTAGTTTAGGATTGCTCGGAATGCTCAAAAGAAACTTCTTTCCTGTCTTTCAAACATCCTTGTCAAGTTTTGGTGTCAAGATTATGCTGCCTCATAACACAGGATGGGAAACGAGCCTCTTGGTTTTGTTTGGTGGATGAGTTTTAAAGATTGCTTTCTTAAACATTTGGAAACACTTAGCGGTGAAGTGCCGAGTCTGCAGTTTCTCTTGGTGACAAGATTTTAAGTTACAGATGAGACTGCATAAAGACAGGCACCATGAAGATGCTGTTTCTTCTTGCAGTTTTTTAAAATGGTGTTTCCCTAGCGATTTGTCATTTCTATCTAACTTTTCCACCTCATCAGCACGAAGTTTTAGAGCAGCCATGTCTATCCAGCGTCGGAAGGGACTGCATATGGTGTCTGCACCTGTCCTCTCTCCTCCTGACTAGCTGTTCCGGGGCTGGTCAGCTGCATTGATCTTTTCCAAAAACCAGCTTTGGTTTTGTTGGTTGTATCTACTCTACATCACCATTTCATTAATCTCTACATGTTTTTAAATTTTTCTGTAAGCACAACTTTTGATGCATCCCACAAGTTTTTTTTTTTTTTTTTTCCTTTTTGTCTTTTTTCGTGACCGGTAACAGGATCGCAACCCTCAGTGTCGCGCCCGCACCACACTCAACCAGTGAGAGGACTGGTCTCTATATGGGATCCGAACCCTCGGCGGGAGCGCCGCCGCACTCCCAAGCACCACACTCTACCGAGTGCGCCACCGGGCCGGCCCATCCCACAAGTTTTGATATGTTAATTTGCCATATTTAATTGTCATTCGATTAAAAATACCTTAAAATGTCCATCTTTATTTCTTATGTGACCTATCAGTTATTTAAAAATATGTTACTTTCCAAACATTCAGGGATTTTCTACTCACTTTTTTCTCATTAATTTTTACCATAATTCCATTTGGTTGGAGAACATACTCTGTATGATTCCAATCCTCTGCATCTGTTGAGACTTGCTTTATAGCCTGGCATATGACCAATAAAAATTCCGGAGAGCAGCTGAAAAGAATGTGTATCCTGAGGCTATCAGATGTAATGTTCTACAAAGATTGATCAAGTATGTTAATCACCTTGTTCAAGTATTCTAGTTTTTTATATATACGGTGCGTACAGTATTTTATATATACTATACAGCTTTTATTACTGTATATACTGTTGTTTCTTAAACATTTATGATAGACATTGAACTTGAAGTCTTAAAATTGTATAGTACCTTGAGACTTTTCCATCAGGGCAATAAAAAGGATTTAAAACAATTTAGCTCCCTTCTTGCCTGTCCCGTTACATAGTAATGTTTTTCAGTATTTTATTGTTTAAAATTTCAATAGGAGACCATTTTATATAGACTGCATAGACTTGTCCACACGTTTATTATTCTATTCCTTCTTGCTCTAAGAACCTCCTTCTGGATTCACATTCCTGCTCCTTAGAAAACTCCTTAGAATTCCCTCTAAAGGAGGTGTCATCTGTAAGTGACACCTCAATTTTTGTTTATAATGTTTTTTACAAATGTCATTTTTAATGACTTCGAGATATGACATTATATACCAGAAAATTCTCCCTTTTAAGGGAATAATTCAATGACTTTTGGTGCATTTACAAAGTTGTGCAAATATCACCACTAATTCTAGAACATTTTCATCACCACGAGAAGGAACTCCGTGCCCCTTAGCAGTCAGTCCCAATTCCCCCTGCCCCAGTCCCTGGCAAACAGTAACCCACTTTCCGTATGTATGGATTTGTCTCTTCTGAGCCTTCCCTATAGGTGGAGTCGTACAATACAGGGTCTTGTGTGTCTGGCTTCTCTCACGTAGCACAGTGTTTTCGAGTTTCAGCCGTGTCGTGACGAGTGTCAGTGCTTCGTGCCTTTTGAAAGCTGAGTACTATCCTGTTGTGTGGACAGACCCCCCTTTCTCTATCCATTCATCTGTTGACGGACACCTAGGTTGTTCCCACTTTTTGGCTAGTATAACTAATGCTGTGATGAGCACTACTGTCCAAGTGTCTGTGTGGACAGATGTTTTCAATTCTCTTGGGTAGATTCCCAGGAGTAGAATTGCTGGTCATGCGGTCACTGTCACCAGCATCCTCCGGCTCTAACAGTGTGAGCCAGGTTCCCTCGCTACGCTGCTGGGCTTATCCCTCACTCCGGCCTCCCAGGCTTGTTGAGAGCTATGCCGACATTCTGTCCATCACAGGGGTCTGTCCTCTCTCTCTGGCTATCTTTAAAACTTGTCTCTAATGTTCTGCATGTGTCTGGGCCTGCATTTATTTTTATTTCTCCTACTAGAGAGCTGTTCTACTTCCTGAATCCTTTAAACACCATCTTTCTTCTGTTCTCTAATATCTTTCTTCTGTTCTCTAATTAGCCTTCCTACTTCCAACCTCCATGACTTGGATCTTTTTTCGTATTTCTGTCTCCTGGAGAATGGTCTGTCTCAAATAACTGTCCAGGGAGGCCTCAACTCCCACCTCAGAGTGCCCTTCTTCAGAGGTGGCCAGTCTCCCCAGCAGGACGGACAGAGACACTCACCCTTCCACATGTCCTGGTGCGTACAGGAGCTCGACGGGGGTGGGGGCAGAGGCATGCTTGCTCTGGATGGCAACTTTGAACACTTCCCAGAAATACAGTTTTATTGTGGGCATTTCACAAACCCCATTAAGGTAACTGCCAAAACTGTGTGGGTAGAAGCAGACAAGGTTCTGCTGGTCACATGTAATTCAAACCACCTCTGGCACTTCTATTTGGAACTATTTTCTCTACTTTTTGAAGAAATTTTTAGGTGACAAGGTACGCCCCTTTGGATACAACATTCTGTATGCACCCCCAGAGCTGCACCTTTCTGGAGTTGGTTTATAGAGAAAACAAGACACTACACACCTGTGCTTTGAAATTAGGTTTACTTCCTAGTTGCTGTGGCAAAGGACGCCCTCAGGGACAGTCAACCCAGCCAAAGGGGCCCAAGTGGCGACTCTCCAAGCAGCGTGGGCCTGAGAACCAACAAGCCGACTAGCATGCCTGTCCAACCACCTCCAGGAACAAAGGGAATAGCATGAAAGCCAATGTGGTCATAAATACATTTTATTTCCTTAGAAATGCATAATTACAGTGTTCGAGAGCATATCCCCCTAGAAAAGTAGATAAGCAAGATTTCCATTAAAATTGTTAGCTGTCTTTTGCAAATGCCTATTTTCATTACACTGAACAGAGCACACAGCAAAAGGCTTCTGCTACTCCACTGTTTTTTTTCAATTTTCTGTTTTTGTTATAAACACCATAGCAAATTAAAAAAGCTGTTTAACAGAAAAATATTATGTTCCTGACTTCCCGTGTGCCTGCAATGTGCTGCGCACAGTGCTCCCCTCGTTCCTCAGACACCAACAGGATGACTCAAAAGAGGGGTCTTCTGAAAGGACAGTGCTTGTGATCATGATTGTTTAACATATCAGGGGACTTCCCCTGGGGGAGGCGGCTTCCAGACACACTTTAACAAGATAGTGCAGGCGCCTCTCCCGCTCAAAGCTGTGGGAATGGGACGCATGGCGACCAGGCCTGAGGCTGGAGCAGTCCTCCAGGCGATCAGCTGTGTCACCTCACTGGATCTGGATTGCTCCGTGTTCAAGCTGCATTTCGGGCTGCAGGCTGGGCTGCAGGGTCTCCGCCGTCTGCAGGAGGGAAGAAAGGAGGGCTTTTCTAGAAAGATACCCACCAGTGTGTGTCCAGCCACTCACTTGTCACAAGACAGCTGATGCCTTTCATGCACAGAGTAGAAAACACACACCAGAGCTCAGAGGAGCTCTGAGGACCTCAGGTTTCCCCAACTGCTCATCCAGGACACCTGTGCTCTATGGCAGTGCTCTGCCAAATCCTGCTCGATCCCCCTTCCCTCAGGGTCCTTGGCCATCCCCTCCCTCACACATGTGCCGGGCCCACCCAGCCCTGCTGCTGCTGCTGCTACTGCTGCTCCTGACCCTCCATCCCCACCGCTAGGCTGGTCGCTGGAAACCAACCTGGAAGGTGTATTCACCTGGAATTTCAGGTGTCACTCTGCCTTCCTATAAAAACTGTTCCAGTGTCCCAGAAGTATTTCAGGGCAGCTACCTTTTCTTCCCTTAGAGGCTTAAGTTTTAATCAATGATTTACAGATATTAAAAGGACTCCAAATACATACTCACAGATTCATTTTAAGTTAAAGCATATGATCTGGGAATACATCACTGATCCTCCATCTCAACCATGCAGAACATGCCCTGAATGGGGGAAACTGTTTTGGGGTTTCTGATCAGCCTCCCCAGGGGTTTAGTTGGAGGAGTCAGGCACAGTGACAGCAAAGAAGAGGCAGGAGAAGCCGAGGATACTACAGAGGAGACCAGCAGGAGGCACAGGTCTGGGGGGTGGTGGAGGGGTTAATGACTCTCACCGCAGCTAAGGCTGTGCTTTTTCAAAGACGAGTGTCAAATGACACTCAACACATTGTTTCCTTAAAAGAAGGAGGGACTTCCAGAGTAGGATGCAGGATACCTTTGGCACAGGTACCTCATTCTGTCTGGGCAGGAAAATGAAGAGACAGAGCTGTGACAGAGACCCAGCGGCTGCACACACCGCAAGACAGCAGAGAGAGCTGCAGTGGGCGGGAGGGAGGCAGCGCTGACAGTTCCCTCCCCAGGAACTCTCGAAGAGGTGGCCTGGACTCAGGGACCCAGGACGGTGAGGCACAGGGACCACGTGCAGGCCTTGGGAAACCCACTGGCCCTCAAGGGTGCCGGTGCCAGCCCGCCTCTCAGGCTGGAGCATGCAGAGAGTCGAGAACTGCTCCAGTTACAGATGTTCAAGGGCCCCCCAGTGCTCAGACATGGCCTCACCTGCCCTCCCTGCACAGGACCCCACTGCACACAGGGCTCGGGCACGTTCCCGTCAGCTCCCCACGGGCTTTCCAGTAATGAGTTTAGGTGTGGGACCCTGTTCTGAACAACAAAATACACAAGGAAATCCTGGGGTGAGGTTGGGGGAGCTCTATGTGGAGAAAGAGGCACATCAGAAAACCCCCTTTCCTCCACCAGATGTGGGAGGCCATATGTGTATAGAAACACCAGGAAAGACTTCAGTCACTTGCTCTAGGCTGAGGCAGGCAGAGAAGGAAGAGGAAGACCTGGCCCTGACGTGTGCTGACCGACTTGTAGCCAGGCCCAGACAAAGCCCGCCACAGCCTCTGGGCTGGGCTCCTGCAGGGGAAGCATCCAGTGAGTACACATGCCTTCCGCTGCTGGGACATGTCCGCACTAGACCGTCGCCTGAGACCTGCCAGGTGCCTGTGCAGACGGCGCTCACGGGAGAAGGAGGCTGCAGAGAGCTACACTGGAACACGGGCTTCCTCAACTTTGAAATCTGTAAAGTGGCCAGAAATTTATAATCCAATAAGACAACCTAACACACAGCCCCCAAATCTACAGCACACGCAACGTGTCACACTTCCATGCCTGTCAGCAGCACAGGAATATCCTACTTACAATGGAACGGGTGGCCAGGCACCAGTCACTCAGCGTGGGCTGCAGGGGCCATTAGGGATCTTTCTTTGGGGACAGGTCAGTTTTCACACCATGTAAAGAAGCTATCTACAGAGTGGCTACTCTCTCTAGCCCCGTGCTGCACATTCTTGGTGTCACCCCACATTCCTTTTCAGTTTGTCTCCAGGGAGTCAGCCCCAGTGAAAAGTGACCCCTACACAGTGTTGAAGTGCCTGCAGGTGCAGTTGGCAGGGTCTGCAGGGAACGGGGGGTTATGCCTGCACCAGGACACACACCCTCAAACTCCTAGCCAGCAGGAGCCTGGTGAGTCAGGAGAAGATGCAAGCATTAATTGAGCATTTAGGTCATCACAGGGCGGCAGAGGCTCACAGGGCTCTGGAACCACCCAGACTGGCCACCTGGTAACCATGGTCACCTCAGGCTCTGCTGAGCCCCATTTCTTCAGCAACCACCTTCCAGAGCAGGACATCCTAGCACAGTGCCGAGGGATGGAGGGACAGGCCCACTCACAAGTCTGGGGCTTCCATTTGAAGGTTGCATAGAGATGCAGGCAGATTGCCAGCACTGGGCCCACAGAACGGAGAGCAACAGACCCAAGATGGTGGCCACGATGTGCCAGAAGGGCTGGAGGCAGGACAGGGATAAGGCCTAGGGCTGGGGAGAATCCCAAAGCAGGGGGTAGAGGCCACCCAGGCCCAGATGGTGGGCTTTCCTGCCCGCCGAGGACAGAGCAGGTGGAAGCCTTCACCACAGCCTCTTGTCTCTGCCTCGGCAGAGCTGGCAGTCGCAGCCTGCAGCCTTGCCCATGGGAGCTTCTGCCTCTGGGGTCTGAAGGCACTGGCAGGGACTGTGTCTGTGCCACATGTGGTCTGCAACAGCCTCGTATTGTTTCAGTGGACTCCCTGCCCTCTCGGGACAAATTCTGTGGTTATTCTCATAAAATCTGGAATACATCCTAACTGCAGAATGAGGTGTCCTAACATAACCAACCAACCAGATGACCTGATTGCGCCATCTCTTACCGGGCCAGGCAGGTACCCCAGACTGAGGGAATCCCAAAGAGAGGGTGGCCACGATGCTCTCTCTGCTCTGCACACTTAAGCTGGGCAGCGCCTAAAGCTCTTCAAGTAGCTAAAGGAGCAAGCTCTCCTAACGTTTCAGAAAGCATCCACACAGTTCGCACACTCCTCCGGTACAGCAAAATGAGAAGCCAAGAGGGGATGCTGACCAGGGCTTTTTTCCAACTGTAAGCTCATGATAATGAAGGGAAAGCGTGTGTTCTCATGGGATGGTACTGAAAAGGATGTGGGCTGCCATGTAGAGGTGTCTCGTAGAGAGCCGGAAGGGCCAGATGGGGCAGACACCATGCTGCCCTGGACCCCTCCACACCCATTACAAAAGAGAAGAGCCGTCCAGAGACAAATGCCCTGAAGGAAGGAAGGAAGCGGACAAGGCCTCGGCTGGGATTAGAGCCCTGTGGAACCTGCTCCAAACAGAGGCGTGGCCCTTGACAAGAGGGGCAGCGAGCTCTTGGGTAATGGCCCCCGAGCTCCCCAGCCTCAGGAGCACACTCCAATGAAGGGAGAATAGGGCAGAGCTTCATTTCTGCCTCTAAATCTACAGATGAACATTCCACAAGATGGAGGAGCTCAACAGTGAGTTTGAAATTTAGAATTGGGCCAGGATGTAACTTCCCACCTTCATATTTTCAGGCACTTATGAAAAATAGAATCCCCAAATGAGTATCTATCATGTGCCTTTTGATGATAATTTACCTTCCTCACAGGAGAAAGTCAGAAACAGACCCAAAGCTACGTGCAAGCACCGCAGAGGCAGACGGGACCAAGGACTTACCTGTGCCGTGGCCGTGTGGTCACCCACCGGCGCCAGCTGGACATACTGGACCTGGATATCACTGCCCTGCAGAGGAGACCCATCCACGCCTGCCGCAGCAGGGTCTGAAGAGGCCACGGCTATCAGCTGGGCCCCCTGCAGCACCTGGAGAGACAGAGAGGCCGTGTTGGTGACTGCACCGGGACAGCAGCAGGCACCCCGTCATCTTCTGGACAAGCACCAGGGGAATGGCCCCAGGACCACGCTGAGGACTTGGGGTTCCGCTGTCTCACAGATCACGTCAGAACAACGTCGGCTCTGGTGAGAGAGTGAGGAAAGGGCAAGAGAGCCTCTGCTAGGCCTGTGCTACCTCCTCAGACACCCACATCCCAGACAGAAACGCTGGCACGCTACAGCCCATAGGAAAAACCACCTTCCCCAGTGTTGAGCAGAAGAAAACTGCCAAGCAATACTCCCGAAATGTTACTACGAGAATCACGAAGATCCTAAGTCCTCCAAGTAGTCACGACGGAAACACGAGTGTGAGTGTAGAGATCAAACACTGAGATCGGAGAGGCAGGCAGACATCAGCACAGCTCGAATGTGGAGCGTGCTGACAGGAGAGAGCAGCTATGTGGGCAGCACGGCTGGAGAAGAACCTGCAGGGAGAAGGTGGGGCCATGCCCTGAGGGGGTGGGGGTAGGGAGTCAAGGCCCCATGAGCCCCCCTCCCACACATCCGTCCTCCCTGCATTTTGATTTACAGAGTAGGATTTTCTTATTTCTGCCTCAGAACTATATTTTCCAGGCACTGTGGTTTTGTTTCCAACTACACAGCTCAGTCTAAAATAAAACTGAGAACTTTAGGATAAAGTAGCAGGAGGCTCTTGTTTTTAGGAGCGGAAACCTCAGTGTCACAGACTGTGTGACCCTGGCCAAGACCCTTTACCTCGTCCCACTGGGCCCCACAGCAGCCCCAGGAGTGGGCGTTTCCTACTTCTGGAAGCCAGGGTGGCAGGGCCCTTCACTGGGTGCTGTGGGGCCAGGGCTCACAGGTGTCCCTCAATCTGCAAACACACAGAAACCCAAGTTGTACTCAAGGTAAAATTACTGCCTGTTGCTAACAACAACCTCAGAGGTTAGGAGTGTTCCCTAAATATTTAGTCCCCATTAATAAATTGATCAGACAGCTCTGTGATTCCTGAGTGTTTTCTCAGATTTTTAAAGCTGTTTGTGCCTTCTGTCAGGAGCCCTTACATGGAGAGCCCCTCACCAGGAAATGCTCTTTCTGGCGTCCTTGAGGCCCCAGGGAAAGCGCCGGGAGCAGCCCCCACCTCACATGCCCAGGCGGAACCCAGGCCACCCCTTCCCACCAGCGCCAGGAGCTGCTCCACCGGGTGTGGCTATGCGATCCTGTGAGACCCCCGAGGAGCGCCGCCTGGGCACCTGCACCTGCACCTGCAGGGAGGTGCTGGCGAGCACAGTCAGGGGCATGAGGCTGGCGGCAGCACAGGGAAGCTCTGCAAGGAGAGCAGTGGGCCCGGGCCACGCCTCGAGGGCAGTGCAGAGGGTTCCGAGAGCCCAAGGCCTGGCCAGAGAGGAGCCACTTGCCTGGGACAGGGCAGTCCCCTGCAACCATGACGAGACAGTGACCCTGTGTCTCAGTGACCGGTGGCCCTTCCACATGCTCCCCGCTTATTGTATACTCCACTTACTCCAGAATTCAAATCTGTCCCCTGCTCTCTTTCCCTACGTCGACCATTTTGGCCTCAGTGAACAATCCCACTTCACCATCAATTTTCAGAAAAAAAGATGAAAGGAAACTCTTAACGACTTTTCCTCTTGTGTCTTCAGAAACCACTTGCAAACACATTTCACGTTCTAATCCTAGCTAGCCATGCTAGCAGAATAACACTCCCCCCCCCCAAGATGTCATGTCCTAATCCCCAGGCCCTGTGAATGCGTTACTTTACACAGGCAAAGGGACCTTGCGCATGTGGCCACACTAATGATCCTGAAATGTGGAGGTTGTTCTGGATCACCTGGGTGGGTCAATGTCATCACAGGTGTTCTTAAGAGCAGAAAATCTTTCCCAGCTGCAGAGGGTTAGAGTGATGGTATGTGAGAAGGACTAACCCTGGCCACTGCTAGCTTTGAAGATGGAAAAAGCTAGGAGGCAAGGGATGTGGAAGCCTCTAGAAGCTGGAAAAGGCAAGGAAACAAATTTCCCCTGGAGTCTCCAGAAGGAACCAGCCCTGCCGACACCTTTATGTTAGCCCAGTGAGACCATGTCAGACTCCTGTCCTCAAGAACCATGCAAGAATCAGTGTGCTGTTTAGGCCACCAGGTCTGTGGCCCTTTGACACAGCAGCCACAGGAACCTCATACAGCTGTGCAGGTTGTCCTGCAGCCTGCCACCTTCTGAGCACAGGAGCTGCCTGCTCCAGCCCTGTAAAGTTAGGGCTTAGAGTTCACAAACCCTTCAAGCCCGTTGTACAGACTTGGTCACAAACCCCTCACATCCCAGGCTGGGTCACCAGACCCCTCACACACAGGTCCATGCTCTAGGTAACTGGGAAAGATCCTGGGATCCACTGGCAGATGACACGAGCTCAGTCCAGCAGCAGAAGCAGCAGTGGCCTCTCAGGGCATCCCGGGAGTGGGGGACCCTGTGGATCAGAGCCATTCGTCCTTTATACTTAAGTCCATAACCCAGGACACCTGGGTGCACATGCACAACTACATGTCAATAGCCAAGGAACACCTTGGCATACATGCATATTTACATCAAATGCTTGGCAAGATTCTGAACATCTGAGGGGCCCTGACCATTTTCCTTCACTTTCCCTACAAGCCCATACCCAAAGAACCCTTTATTAGAACACAAAGTTCCCAAACAGAATAGGAACAAGAGAAGGCGCACTTAAGTGATCAGGCAGTCCACGTCTGCGGGGCAGGTCTGCTGTTCTCCACTCACTGCTTTGCTCCACTGAGAACTGTTCACACTATAGGAGTTTTTGAAGGGTCTGAAAACTGGAGGAAAAAATGGTGCTTCTTCTGTTATTCACATTCCCTTTTCCCCAGCAAGTGGTTTGTGCTCAGCAAACCAGAGGCCACTCGCCAGCTCCTGGAGGTTTGTCTCCTGCGTGAACGCCACAGAGGCAGCCATGTCCCCTGCCACTGCGGCTGTGGCCCTTAGACCTCCCCGCATTCTGACCCGCAAGTGCGAGGCTTCCGTTGAAGTCTCCCTCTGTGGCCTGTAAAAGCCTCAATGGTTTTTAAGGAAGCAAAGGGGTCCAGAGGCACTCCAGGCCCCCGTGAGAGCCAGCTGCTGGCACATACCCAGTGTGGAGGGGATGGGAAGTGGCAGCGACCAGCCCTGCACCCAGCCTGGACTCAGTGGCCTCAGGGAAGTTGTGTCTAGTCCTCTGTCATACTTTAGGCATCTCTGTCCATCAGAAGGGATAGATGGGGTAGGTTTAGGTTGCTTTTATTTTTTATTTTTGGCATGACCGGCAAAAGTGTTAAAAGCCCACTCAAAATGACACGACGGGTTTCCTGAAACTTGAGTGAACTCCTGCGTTACTGCCAACGCTGTGGCCCCTGAGCCTGTACTGGGTTGTCCACCAGGCCCAGGCCCCGTGCCCAGAGACCCTGTGCAGGGTCTTGGCCTGAGGGCCTCAAGGCAAATGGTAGACCCAGAGGATCCATACCATGTGCTCTGTGGAGGCCAAGTGGCCTCAAAGAGCAGAGAGAGACGCTGAAGTGTCAGTGGGAAGGGAGGCACGGGCAGGGCTTCACAGGAGGAATGACCAGAAAGTGAGTACCTGAGACTGTCACAAGCAGTGTCTGAACAGAACCACACACACTCCTGGTCTCAACAGACACAGGGTCTTGAGGCATGAGGGCTCCAATCCCATCAGATGGGTCTTACCAGTTCACCAAATATACCTTTGCATACACACAGACGTGTACACGCATGGCCACACACACATGCCCGTGTAAGCTCTCCTGAACCCCCTCCTGTACCCCCCTCCTCTGATGCACCTCTGGCCCAGCCCAAGGCAGCTGCTCATTTCTCAGACTCTTCTAGAAATTCCCCTGGCACCAACAGGTGGTAATCATGTGGTGGGTCCTGTGAGGCCGAGTTCTGGCGGATAATCTCCCAGGCTCTATGGGGGCGAGGTCCCCTTGACCTGGCACTTCCTCACAAAGGGCAAACGGCAGGTCCCTGGAAGACACTGGCCAGGACAACCCACATGCTCCCCATAAGCAAACATTTAAAAACATGTAAGAAGCCCAGATCACCTCATTTCTTTTTTTAAAAAAAATTTATTTTATGCATTGAATAAAAATCGATTATAGATAATGTGGGGGTTGAACATTGAGATATGTTGATCAAATCAGTGTTACTAGCATATATATTGTTACAAATTGTTATTCTTTATGCCCCTTTGTCCAATCTCTCCCCTTCCCCCAAGACCCCCACCAATTGCCCTAGATTCCTTCTGAAAGGATAATGGTTACTCTATTCATTTGTTGCCTAGATGATCTGTCCAATGCTGACAGATGTGATCAGGTTCCCCAATATTATCATAGAGCTTGTCTCTGCTGGTGACTTTTCTTGTGTGAATGGACTCCAGTGGTTGGTGGACCATTTGTGTGGTGGCTGTGGCATCTAGCCGCTTTTGTGGCAGCCATGGTTATTGTGGTGGCTGTGGTGGGCCACCCACGTGGAGGTGCTGTTTTTGGTATGCTCCTTGGCACTGGCGGTATGCCTGGCTGTGGGGTGTGTTTGATCCCCTTCTTCATGCCTCTGGTCCCTGGGCAGGCCCCAAGGTGCTGGCGCCAAGTGCCTGGTTGTGAGAGGGGTGGCCAGTCCCCTTCTCCATGCCTCGGGTCAACGGGCGAGACTCAAGGAGCTGGCTTGGTGTGTCTGGTTGTGGGAGGAGGGTCCAGTCCCCTTCTCCATGTCCTGCATCTCTGGGTGAGACCGAAGGTGCTGGCGCCATGTGCCTGTTTGTGGGAGGAGGGTCCGGTCCCCTTCTCCATACCTCAGGTACCCAGGTGGGCCCCGAGATGCTGGCGTTTTGTGCCTGGTGTGGGAGGAGGGTCTGGTCCCTGGCTCCATACTTCAGGTCACTGTGTGTGACCTGAGGCATTGGG